TGTGCCAAATACACCCCACTTCTTCCACCAACGGAATACGACCCCTTCACTGGGGATCCCAATGCTGCGACGTGCCCTGAGCTCAGCATTCTTCGGTACCAGTCTTTGAGCAAGCCCCTTCATCCCCCCTACCCAGTGGGTCAAAAGAGCTTGCGAATCATCATTGAATCACTTCTGGAGTTTACGATAAGGCCGCGATATCTCACGTGAGTTGGGAGGGTCAGGATGCTTCACAAGGCCAAAAACAAGTTTCAACCCAGAGTTCTCAAGCTCACCTCACCTTATCGAAGTGGTCATGCATATCCTTGGGACTTTCAATATCAATTGAATTGCTTTCTGATGAGATGGTGCTTGAAGCGGTCATTATCTATCACTGTAATCTGACAGAAGACGTGGTGCTGTGTCGGCAGTATGTGCGTTTGGGAAAGATTGTGCTGCAATAAGGACGTGCTAGTGCTGCCTCGGCCGATCGGCACTGTTATCACACAAAATGCATACGACAGATCGCTCAACGAACAAAATAAAGCAGTACTAGTCAAGTTTCTACAGAAAGAAAGAAAGGCGCCGTTTGGCTAGTGGGGAAGGGGGGGGGCATTTTGCATTTTCGCTGCTTCCCGTCGACGTGTCAAGCCATCAAGTCAAGACCTGAGAGGTCTTGTCAAGCCCAGTCAAAGTTAGTAGAAACTACTTATCAGCTCCTGCAAAGAATACCTGTCAAGTCTTGTAAAGCAATCAATAGGACAATGGAAAGTAGCAAAAGTGCAAAATACCCTCCCCCCCTAGCCGAACTGCGCCCAAAGGAAACTGAGCACCATACTACTACGAACCACCCAGAGGTATCATCCACGTGAAGAGCTGGTTTTTCTTTTCTCTCAATCCATTTATACGACAAAAACAACGAAAAATCGGGTTCACGTGATTGAAACATTCGAAAATATTCGGGAACAAGTCAAATTAATTATTTCGCCGATTGAATCTAAAAAAGTGGTCAAAGGCGCAGTACGGCTTGATGGGGGCATTTTGTTGGCTCCTATCGATCACTGCCGATACCTCCTGGTGAGACCTGTGAATTCCTTTTAGACTATGCAAAAGCGGGACCTTCGTTTACACTTGACAAGTGTCTATAGGTCTCACCAGGGTAAGACGTGTAGGTTGACATGAACTAGCAAAAGGAACTAGAGAATGTGCAAAACACCCCTCCCAAGCGGAACAACACCATTTTCAAATTTCATCGGTTACTACCAAGAGGAGAGCGTTTCAATGACACGAAATAGCATTCAAAATGAGTCTTCTAGACTTGTGCCACTGTCCAAAGTCGTTCTATTCTGAGAGGGTTCCAGCCACGCCCGTTGGCCCAAAACCGAATTTTACGCTGCGTTCTCTTATGGGGATTGAATTTTCAACGTGTGAAACTTCATGAATGGTATACAGCAATCACGAAAAAATCATTTTCTTATGACGAAGATGGTCGGACTCATCCGGGGATGACTCCTTCGAACATGGCCCATCTAGGAGGTTAGGAGTGAAGGA